TGTTGTATATATATACATATAAGCTACGCGTTTCGCGCTTACGCTATATATATATGTATATAAAATTAAACTGAAATAATTTTATCTTGATGTATAAAACTCAGAATTATAACCGAAAACGGTTAACGGATAAACCGTATATATATATGTATATACTTTACATTAATCTTGTATATATATGTACATACAAGCTACGCTTTTCTATATAAATCCAATATTGTTAACTTGTGAAAATGCTTCAACATGTAAAACAGGTCCATTGTTCAGTGTTTTTATGATGACGATTCTATAACATGAGATTAAAAGGTGAACTAAATGTTATAATATACTTATATTATAACATTTAGTTCACCTTTTAATCACTATCAGCACACACTATCACACTGAACAATGGACCTGTTTTACATGTTGAAGCGCATTTATATTTTTTAATGCAATATTTCTGATAATTCACACAACGCCATCTAGTCCCAAGATAAACAAAGCTTGTATTTTAGGACTATATACAAATATAAATACTTAGATATTGTTTTTATATAATTGTTTTAGATAGTATGCTTATTGCGCACCCGCTGAAAATGATCGGAGACTTTATAAAAGGAATAAAACCCAACCCAAATTTGTTAACATTTTTGTCTAAGAATGGCTTAAACGATGTACGGGTGTTATGTATGTACTTGTAAAAAAAAGTATTTAAGTTTTAAATCAGTCATATGGGTACTAGACCCATAACAGTAGCTTCGCTTAGCTTAGGACTAGATGGCGCTCTGTGACTTGACCCGAGTTATTAATAATATTCTGTATGCCATACTTGCGCAGTAGCGAGTTCAGCTAGTAATAGAAATAAATTCATTGTCCAAGTAGAAGTAGATACCAACGTGACAAATATAAACATTAGTTCAACATGTGGGATTGTCGCTGTAATTTTTCAATTTATTTGAATAACCAAAGTACAGTCCACGAGTCAATGTAATTACTTTGTTGATCTGAGTCAGTTGGTATAAATCTCAAAATCATGGCAGGTTAACAGTTATAGCATGAATATACTATATATAAACATGTCTCTTTCTATTCTGATAAATAAAAAAAAAATCTTTTACTTGTTTCAGATCTGGTGGTCAGAGGGATTGTCAATTGCCGTCTGAGTGCTAGACACTCACATTTCATTCTCTATACTTGAATCCAACGTGTTAAATTGGTTTAATTACTAATGACTACTTCAAAGGAGATGGAAAATCCTCGTTGAAGTAGTCATAAATTTCAAATTCAGGCACAACTTTGTTTAAGTACATGAGATTTAATCACATTTTTAGGTACATTTGAGAAGGTGTGGCGGCAAACCTAATAGTAGGCTTTCAATTCATACGCAGAATACATACGACATGGAGCTTCATCACGGCATATCCTGAGCTGATAGTGATTATTTTTTATTTTTACTATTGCTTACTGTTGCGTGTATCGAATGATGAACATATTTTCTTTCCTCATATTTATGTCTAATACTTAAAATTAAAATATTTTACAAATTAAATAAATTAAATCAGTAATAAAATTCATCAAATTAATAGTAAAAATACCACGTTATCACACATGACACATTTGCTGTCTTTTCAAATAAATATTATAGATGGACTATAAATTTTTGCAGTAACACAGTATCCTTTTTATATAAAGAGAACTTGCAAAAAGAAATAAGTTTACGTTCGATTTATCCCACCTCCATATTTTCTGGTGAGTTATCAAGAATCAATCGTCATATATCATATTGTTTGTGACACGATTGTTCAACTTCCTTTTGTGCCGAAATGGCCTGTCCTTGTCGGCTGGTAAAATGAGATTGATAGACGATGTCTTGAATAAGCAGCGAAATTCAAAAGCTGGAACATGTCAGCCGAGTCGTAAACGATTACAGGATTTCAAACTATTTGTTGGACATTTATGAGTTGAAACCCTTTGTTTTGTCAACGTGAGTTTCGCCCAAAAATAATATTGCGTAAATCTATGTAGAATATGCTGCATCTGTATTAAAATTTTTATTCAAATCCTTAAACATATATTGTGAATATGACGGTAAATTAAAAAAATACCACATTAAATGCTTAAAATTATTATTTGACTTGACAATCTGTGGTTATTTCCACAAAATTATATAATATTTAAAAAAAAGAAGAAGAATAAATACGTTTTCAATCAAATCTGTATTTTTTAAGTATTCTGAACTGATTTAGAAGATTTTTTTTTAAACTAGTGGTTCATGTGGTACTATATAAATTTGATCAATATCTGACCAGTCTTTTTGAACGCGATTGAAATTTTTCGTAGTTTGAAATATTTACTTTATTACCATTCCATTAAATAACTATCAATTTTTCTATTTTTGCTTTACTAATTTTTCACCGAGCCTAAATCCAATTGTCTGTTTGCATTGTTATTTCTAGAGTTTCTATTGCAAGGGTGGGGTAGGTTTAACCAAAATCACTTCGAAAGGGGCCGAGTGGCGGGTGCTGCAAATGGCTAGTCCTAGGAATAAATTGAGCGTAATTTTATCACCGTCCCTTTTCCGACAACTTCGGTGTGTGAGCGAGCAAGAACTAAAACTCGATAATGCCGAGTGAAAACTTTAGTTTTAAATAATTAGTCCTTGGATGGATGAGTGGATTCTGTATGAAATTAGTCGTGTGGTCTTCTATAATTCAAGCCTTATCCAGCGTGTACAGCAATGTTGTGTCACTGTAACCGGCGAGTATAATGTTATATTACTAATATTATAAACGCAAAAGTTTGGAAGTATAGATGGATGTTTGTTACTCTTTCACGCAAAAATTACTGAAGGGATTTTGTTGAAACTTTACAGTATTACTACTATACTATATAGATTATACATCAGAATAATTTATAGGCTATAAATATCATGCGCTTCAAAACCTCGGCCACATATAGTACGTATATAATACAATCAATAGAATAAAATATGCCTGAGCCATCCATTGTTTGCTCCATGCCGGGGCTACAGTTATCTTCTCTATATCTGTTCTTCAGGTCAACATAATATACATGTCAGGCCGTTGAATGCGTTGTCGGTTGTATCGTATATTCATAATATTGATTAAATCCTAAGAAATATTTTAACTAACACTTTTATTTTGAGATATGTTTAAAGTAGGTAGTTACTAATGTAATTTGTTTTGAATATGCAGTGGCACGGCATGAACGTGCAGTTATTACCTAATAAAAATTAGATATTTGTATGTACGATATTGAGTTACTCTCATGTATACGTGTCCCAAGTAATTTGTAAGAAATGAAGACAAAATTCACGTTCAAAAATTCAAGCCAATTAAATTCGTATCCCCATGAATTTTGTACAATTGTTAACGTGATCTTAACAACGTAATGCCTTAAATTCATCTTGTCTACATAACACACCGCAAATTAAGAAGATTAGGTACCTGTTTAAGCAGAAAGTCACTAATGGTTGAGACGCACGAATAAATTTTGTTAGGGAACCTCTTCGAAGCAACTTTGTGGGACTACGTACGTGAGTAAGAAGTTTGCCGATCGAGAAACGTGCACACATTGATGATGTTGTTTTGTTTGCCCTTGTTCTCATTCCTAATAATGTTTAAGTGCTCTGGCTTAAGTGCGATGAAGAAGTTTACACGAAAATCCTTAATCCTCGCGACAATTTACAGCTGTTCATTTTACGTAGGAAGAGAAATAATCTGCTTGTGAAAGGAGCGCCCCCGTTTGTTTTAGGCTCGTACAGGAGACTTATTGTCTTTCGGCAATCTCATATAAGTATCAAATTATCTGCCGTAGGTACTTGGGCGGGACGTTCAGAGTAATGTATATTCGCTGTTATTACGTGTTAATCTACATCATAACGAGGGGAAGTGCTTAGAGCTCCATTAAGAGTAGATATTTCTACCTATAAAAGGTTTTAAAGAAATGTACAATTTAATGTAATGTAATCTATACATATAAATAAGATTGGAGTGTCTGTTTGTAATATTTAAATAACCGTTTTTACTACATGCATATGAATATAAATACGATACATACACCAAAATAAGATTTTTTACAATTTTTGTCTGTCTGTCTGTTTGTTCCGGCTAATCTCTGAAATGGCTGGACCGATTTTGACGGGACTTTTATTGGCAGGTAGCCGATGTAATAAGGAGTAACTTAAGCTACTTTAGAAAAATTCTCTAATAAAATATTTGTTAAATCCCACGCGGACGAAGTTGCGGGTACAGCTATATCTATCTATATATGGAGATTTGTAAGCTGTGCTTCGTTGGAAGCACAGATAATATAATGTTACATAGTTGGAAGGGTGAGATATGACAATGAAATTACAGAATAACGATAAATGTTTGTGGTATTGGTTATGCAACATTTGTGCAACAACTGCAACAAACATTTACGGTAACATGGTCATGGTAGTATGCACGGCTGGTGCACTTTAGTCCAAATATCGACTAAGGAAAACGATTTCTATTAATAAATTAGAATACACTATTCTATATTATATTTAATTATATATATATATATATATTATATTAATTATTTCAGATAATTCAGTAATTGTCAGTTATCGAAGTTATACGATGAATCATAAAATACTCACATTTCTCCTCGTAACGGTGACGGCTTTAGAGGTCTAGCGGTTTAGCTCACCGTCTTACTTCCAATGATCGCGGGTTCGATTCCTCGCACGGTACACACATAAAAACAATACAAAGAATCATATTAATGAATACAAATTCATTAATATGATTCTTTGTATCGTTTTAGGTATTTGCTATGTTACGTTTTAGCTATTATGTATGCATTTTAAAATATGTCAGTTGTCTAGTCATATAAATAAATCTTGAGACAAGATGTGAATTATCCTCATATTGTTATTAGTCTCTCGGATGAAGTAAATTGTTTAAAATTTAAATATTAATTTCATTTCAACGAACTGTGTTAATAGTGATAAGTGTGTTGTAACTTACCTAAAACAATCCCGCACACCTGTACTCCGAGTAGTATTAGTTCCACAATACCACGCAACCGCATTTCGAATTTGTATTCACAACCACTTCACTAATAACAGTCAAATATTATTAATAGTATGCTGAAGCAACACATGATCCTACACGCTGTGATCAACCTGCAACAATGAAAAATGAATTCTAATTCGTGCATTTAAAATTAATATTCATTATACTCTATTTTTTATTATTTGAAGTTTATAGATTTAATATATAACTTAATATACAATATATGATTATCTGAGGATGCAAAAATATTCAACAATAATGAAACCAAAAAATTGTCAAATTGAGAACCATTTTGAAATCCGATTATTTATCATACAGTAATAAAATAAGATATATTGAATTCGCAATAACTTAAGTAGGTACATAAATTAAATAGATAGAAAAAAGATAATACTAATGAAATAATTTTTCCCTATTTAACTTTTGCTATAGTAACCACGTTAAAAAAATAATTAACTTTAGTAAATTTTTATCTCACTAAGAATAACTAATTAATTTATATTCTGACGGCGTATCTTTTGTTATTAACAATTAATAATTATTTTAAAAAAAGTTACTTTTAAACCTAACTTAAAGTGTTAGGACGCGGTTAATAATTTAAATAATGTATTTTAAAAAAGTTCTAAAAATAACAAGATAACAATATCGCAATTTAAAAGTATCTAATTTATTACCCGCATTTAAATTGTTAACAGGCAAATTTAAAACACAATAAAAAGTTATTCTGGAATTTAAATAATTACTCTGTACACTTCTGAACATTTAACAGACTTTAATATAACTTAAACGGTGACTTAATGTCACGTTTAGAATAAAGTATGTTTTTAATTAAATATCTTAGTGATGTAAATCCAAGTTGCAGCTTTCATCCCTGTCCGACAGATTTCATTTCCAGTTATGAACTTTCTGCGAAACTTTTGTTCAAAAGTAAGTTTTCTAAAGGGCTATCTGAAAGATCGCCAATATTGCCTTACAGATCAGATGATAACCGTTTTCTTTATATAATTGCGTATTGAATAGCTGAAGTGGAACGGAAAAGAATTGGAGAGTCGTTAAAATACGCCAAATAGGCTTACCCACTTATCCATTTGATCCTGTTCCAATCTGATCTTGATCGAGGGCATAAAAAAATAGAAATTCGTATTTTATCAACACGAAGTTACTCTTTTTATGTAGGTATATATTGACTGTACATTAAAGATATTACAAAGTGGAGATAATTGAAAGACGTATAACCAGTTAAGTAATATGAGTAGTAATATTGTTTGTTGTATAAAAAATAGTGAAATGATGTTGTAATAATCATGTATAGTCTGTTTACAGCTACATAATTACGGTTTTCATTATGATTTAGAGATTTTCTCGGTTGAATTAACTTGATTGACTTTATAATATTGTATATAAAGACGACTCTATCATATGTGTGTATAATATTTAGAAAATATTTCATATTATAAATTTTCTATAGATAAATATAATAATAATTAGTGTTATTTGTACCAATAAAATACCAGTTAAAAGTTAGAGTTGTGATTATTAAAAGTTGGTTTATATTTATGTATTTGCACCTGATTCTCATTCAAAAATGTATATCATTTAAATTTAATCTCCTTAAAATAGGAAGCGATTAAAATATTTTTACAATCAAACCGACTATTATAAACCTATAAATACTAGTTACATTCACTTCATTCCTGACGTGCTGATGTGAATGGATAGTTTCAACACAGGTATGGGACATTTCCTAATTTCACAGGTAAAGAACACGAATTCAATTGGGCTCTTCATTTAGACCCGTTCAAGTCAGTTCACATAATCGATATAGGTAATATATTATGCCCAATATCACACCATATTGACATGTAAATTGTTCTATTTTTATATTGGCCACATTGATTTTTTTGTTTCTAATTTATATGTTTCCATCTAGCTTTTGATACCTGACTGAAATAGTAAGTATTTATTTTATTTATTAATCGTAATTGCACCAGAAATGTGATACAAGAAACAATTTACAGAGTAATAGTGTAGAAAAAGTACATTTAATAATTATAGTGTCTTGTGTGCTATCTACCTTCTCCATATACATTAGTCATCTCTTGCAGGTTGTCTGTAAGAAATTGCTTATAGCGATAAGACCGCCTTTTCTTATTAATTTTCTATTTACTATTTTTCTTATTGTACTTTTTCTTTGTGCACAATAAAGAGTTTATTATTATTACAAAAGACGATTGTCGGTTAAGCAAGCTCTTCTACATAACCTTTGGGTAGAGGAGAAAGGACAGAAGGTAGTAGATGCCGCATTAATGGAATGAAAGTATGCGTAAAATTTATATTTGAGGTGAATAGCAATCATAATAATGAAAAATATACATATCTATATAGTTATATATAATCGTTCGGTGTGCATATATAAAGTAGAATAATCTTATCGTTGTTGTTATCATAGCATTAGTGCACAACAGACCAAATGAGAAGTTAAATGCGGAAAATAAAGTAGAACATACAATACAATATAATAGTCCAGACGAGAGCACCATTTCATTAACGTCACTAAAAAAATGCTCAACAAGCGATGTCAAGTCAGGTAATCTAAATTTACAGGAATGAAACACCATGGTTCTCATGGAGCTCCATCTGACATAGTCAATGGTGGTAAGGGTCAATAAACCTGTTACTAATAACCACCTACTTCACGCATAATTATAAATGAAATTATTTATTACGTTTTATATTTGGATTACACCTAATTATGGAATGAAGGACTTTTCATATGTAGGTTATATTAAGTAGATGTACCAATTATTGTCCATATTTGAATAGAATAATGTAATAATTTATGTATAATGGTTACAATAATTATTGTTGCGCTGAATGGTAGTTCCTTTGTTATTATTCCAAAGTAATGTTCAATTGTAGGAAATATTTGATATTAACCTAAATGCTCGCCCTCAATAAGACAATTTTCAACATTAAATATAGACGGATAACCTAATGGTTTTTTTTTTCCATCAGTTGAGTTCACTCACAAGTTAGTCATTATTATAAGTATGTTAATAAATTGAGCAAAATCTTTGCACGGCTTTTTACGAAAATTGCGTGGACGAAGGACTATGAAAATTCGCACACTTATAGTTTATACAGAGAAGTTGTTCAGAATATTAATATTTTTAATATTATGCAAAAATACTTCAAATCAATAAAAAAATATTGTACACACTACCATGTACACTACTACATAAACACGCATACAAGTCTTTGACTATTAATTGAATCTTAATAAAATCGTTAAAATTTATAACTAAACAAATAAGGTCGAATCTTCGAATATTTGGGCGACCACTAGTATTAAAACACTGTATTGCGCACTAAACATAGATTAAAAACTACATAGTTATATTCTTACTGTTTAATATATGTATATATATTTATATTATTTTCAATTTAAAAACATTTTATACTTGTTAAATATGAAAATAAGTTCACCATATTTTTAATTTTTTTTACTTAAATAAGTAGCTTCACTTTTATTGTACTAAATAAGTAGCTAATACAGAAATTAGTTTTAACTGAGAAAAACTCGTCAAAAATTACTATTATTAACCAATTCTTGTCTAAAAAAATACTTTTATATTTTTAGGAAGATTCACTACGTAATTGCCTAATACTATTCATAATTTTTGTACTTATTTCTTCCAATTTATAATCTTCTAAACATAGAGTTTATCAATCTTTAGTAGAGACTACTTTATTTATTTGGAAAATATACGTCTGGGGTTATGTAAATCACTTACCTAACCTTATTGATTGTTAATGAAACGTCGCCCGGAACCATGAAATGGTCCATAAAAAGTAAGCGATACTCGTAAGCTGGTTATCCCGTAAAACTTTTTGGATAGTATACACCTACAATATTGAAATTGGTATAGCTATTAGTATTTTTAGTCCATTTTTTATATTTACGTATGTTACAATCAGCGCACATATTAATTCATTTTTATATTTTTAATTTATAAAAATCGATTTACAAAAAAATGTGGATAAAACTATATTTTGAAACAAGATCGTATTTTTTTATACCACGATGATGGCAATAAATGGCTGATGGTAAACCGTAATTCTGAAAACCAGGGGTGTCACGTGGCCGACTAAAACACCCCATGTTGTAGTCTCTAGAGATAACCTCAGCAGATAGTCCATGTCCCAATCAGTTAGATTGGGACATGGACATGTACAGGCAGGAAGCTCCTTTGAAACCTCATTAGAGAAGCATTATTAACAATATTTCAATACACGTTTTTCATTACATAAAATGAAGGTATGTTTGTAAATATGGATTTTCCTATTTTATTTTTAATGGACAATAATTATATACATATTGCTAGATAATCGGGTCCCGATATTTGTTCCTGATTGCTACTTTATAGTTATTTCACGCAGAAGTAACACTGGTATTGTTATTTATCACGCAATAATGACGTCACAGTTTCAATTATTAGACCAAGCTTGCTTTATCCGCCAGCGTCAAGACTGATTGATGGATTTTGACGAATGAGACGAATATACATGTTTTTTCTTCTTGCGTTTTGTTTTATTAAAGTATATATAAAATTTATAAAAATAATATGGTCACAAAATACTTTTAAAAGACTTTTTTGTATAGTAATTAGTTTATGTATGTCATGCCGTAAAGATTAAAATTGCTAATTTTATCTCAATAAAAATATTTATAAATACGATTATGAGTGTGTCTTTTTCGCTTTCAATTCTTAATGGTTTAATATTATCAAAGTATTTATTATTTCTTTGTTACTATTTGTACTGAAAAAGAGGATTAGTAATTTTATATCGTCGTTAAAACATAATCATGTGTTACCGACGAAGTTGCAAATAGTAAATTAAATCAACGTTATTAAAAGAAGACTATAATAAAATAATTAATAATTAATAATTATCTACGTAATCAAAACAGAAAAGCAATTATAAGAATAAATGGATTAAAAAATAGAAACACATATGATTAGTGTAACATATAATGTGATACATGAACATTTTGACGTATGGTATTTTGTTATGGGGCAATTAAATACAATATTTATTTTAGAACATT